CTAGGGGACAAACATGTGGCCTTCTTCCTTCCCCCCTCTTCCAATAAACGCCTGATTATGCAGCTGCTGCATAATAGCTGCTGATAGCAGCGGGAGCGCGCCGGGACTGCATAATCACACCAAAGAATGGAAATCTCTGGGCAAAGTCTCATCTCGGCACCACCTGCCAGGGCCTCGTGTCGCACATTCTGCGGGCACGGAAAGCCAGCGGCGGCGGCGGCAGAGCTGAAGGGCTGAGGATGATTTTTGTGTGTGAGTAACCAGCTCCCAGTTTTTGGTTTGGAAATGCTGTAAGATCATAGTGGATGCAAGAACATTGACACAGCACAGCAGGGCTCTCTGTTACAGCGTGTGCGTGCCGTAGGTGCTGTTGAATTATTCATTCCGAATTACTACGGTCTGATATCAAGGTGCACACCTGAAAAGTGCAGTCATCACTGGACAGCTGCGGGAAGCCTGAGCGTCGAGAAAAAAATGAGCCTACAATAGATCCACAGTACGGAACACGCGTGCACATGCAAACGAATGGAGTAAATAATGAAGAACAATGTAGAACAAACAGAATAACCCACCAGCTGGCAGTCATAATTGTTCAAAACAAAAATCTCCGTGCTTCATAAATTACCATTCAAACCAAGCCGTACCAAGGGGGATGCCTCAGCCTGGTGATGCCACGCAAGCCCTGCCCGCCTTTCTCCGCTCAGCAGGGGTGTTCCCCGCCACGGGTCCGTGCACAGAGGCCCCGTTGCAGCCAAAGGAGGTTTTACACCCCAGCAGACCAATACCTTGATGCAGCTGGGAGACAACCAGAAAAGAACAAACCAGTCACAGTTCCGCCACTGGCCTCAAAGCATATTGCGTTGTAAAGCCAGCAATCCAGCTCAGACAACCGCCAGAGAGAAACCATTTCTTGCCTCTTGCACTCTGCTAAAACTGCCCTTGGCCTCTTCTCTCAACACCCCTCAGCTTCTCCCCCCGGGTTTTTACATGGGAAAGGCAGGGAGGAAAAAGGGAAGAGGCATTTCTGCCTAAAACCGCCTTTCTAACATCTCTTCCAGCATGTAGTCCTGTTTCCAGTGATGGTGTTGTGGGTGTCACCCTTCTGCTCTTAACTACAGATAAACAAAAATTATTTAGTGCTTGGATGGTTATGTGCAAAGAAACATCTACAGCGGGAAGCCAAATAGTGACCAGATTAAACTGCAACAGCTTTACTCCTGGTTTGTTTGGTTTTTTTTTTTTAATTCTTGATAATTTTGAAAAGGTGTTGCGTGCTCTTTTTTGAAGTATCTTCAGAAAATCGTTTTAAAAGAAATATTTTTGAGATTTCATACCGCTAGAAAAGCCACACAAATTCAGTTGAAGGAAAAAAAAAAGAAAAACATACACAGAAAGAACAGTTACGGGAAACACGACTGTTTCATCCTACATTGAAACCTAGCTCTCAACACAGTAATTACCACATATTTTTTCCTGAGCTCTGACTCAGACGACTAGCCCTCTTAATATTGAAAAGTGAAAGTAATAAGGCTCTTTGGTAAAGGAAATAACTAGTTTGAGAAATACAGCTTTTCCCACATGCCATTAATACGCATTTTATTTCCAGAAATGACAGAATTTCCCGTATTGTGCGGAGGCAAATAACAAAGCTGGTTTAACTGGGAGTAAATATACAACTCAGGGCTAAACCACAGATTTGGGGATCAAAATTCAAGTGCTGAAGCAGATTCCTCCCTCCTAACTAGATGGTTCTGCTGCTGGAGCAGGTCAGGCTGTGGCGCGGCCAAGGGACGCAGCACACGCTTCTGGTTTCAGCTCGCCTGGAGGAGGCAGCAGATTTTATAGAGGGGTTTTAGTGCACGGGAGAGAAGTATGGGAACGAAGGGGAGGAAGAAAGGGGAGTCGCTTGGGAAGTCAGATGAAATGCAGAGGCTGGGGGGGATGAGGAGCAGCCCCAGTGTGCGGAGGGGCTCCCTTGCTGCCGGGCAGCTGTTCGGTACAGGCGTGGGAACAGGGCACCTTCCTCCTCGGGCCACTCTCCCACCCCCTGCCCCTGCAGCACCCGTCCTGCATGAACACCCTGGAGTAGTTCAGTGTTGTTAGGAACTGCGGGCGATCCAGCCGGGACCCGGTTCAAGCAGTGTATTAATCCGATCTGCTTTGGAAACCAACTTCCCAGCTTCCTTTCCAGTGGAATCTAGAAAAAGTGATTCTGCTTCTAATGTAAGTCCCCTAAAGTCTCCGCGGCTTTTGGTTTTATTGACTTCCACGGGCCTTGAAAGAAGTCGGCACCTTGAATCTCTGCAGAACACTCAACTCCAGTGTTCGGCTAACCCCTTCCCCGCTTTCAGCATGTTTCAGCGGTTCAGTTTCCATGACGGTGTGTGTTCTTGTCCTCTGCCGGACTTCAGGACGTGCTAGGCAGCCATTTCAATAGATGGAATTTTGCTGATGCCAAGGTGGCAAAGAGCACTAGGGCAAGCCGAGATAATAAAAGGAGCAGGATAGTCACCTGATGTGTGTTGGCCTACTTTTGTTCAGCTCAGTAGTTCATCCTTGAATTTTACAAAGAAACTAAGCTACAGCTATATATATAACATGTGGGAGGTTATATACAAAAACTGAGAGCCAAATAAATTGCTGATACACATCTACACACGTATGGATGCATAAACACGTGCATGTGCACTGACCCCTCCGTGCACACCCACAGAGCTCCTTACACAGGGCCACGTTTCTCCTTCACTTACTCTTCTGGCTCAGTTAACATCGAGGCACAAACCACATATATCTTGGTGTGATAAAGCTGCGTTTCACCTCAGCTGTAAGTTGCGAAGTGTTACAACACTTAGAGTTGACCATCCGTACAGGTAAAGATGCTCTACACTGAGCATAGCTTGCCTAAACATCCTTTTAAATTATGTCCTTCATCTATCAATAAATTATTGGTCACTGTATGGCAAAGGAATTACAAAAAATGTAAAAATTACTGGACTCCATAAAAGAATACGCTCCATAACTGCTCTTCTCTCTGAATCAGTCACTGCTGTTACACCAAAATCTTGGTGGTTTTGCTTTTAAAACATCCCTGGCAAAGTTTTGGGGTGCATTTAGAGTGGCATAACCAGGGAACGGCATCGTCCTAGCAAGCTGCATCATAAATCACAGGGCGAGTTTCACTGCTCACTTTTTAAACCAGGCTTTCAATTTGTAGCGGCTGTTAAATTCAAATTGTCAGCCAGCATGAAAGGAAGCCTTTTTCTCGTATCATGTACCCAATTTTAATAGAAGGGCACAGTCTTGTAAAGCCTCTTGTACTTTTCATTGTGGTCTCTTGGATCTGAGATGTATGGGTTGACACTGCTGGATAAGAGCTCAGCAAACGGGGAGAATACTTGAGTATGTTGGTAGGTGAAAGCCCCTTTGTGGGAAGAGATTTTGAAAGCCAGTAACATCAGCTTTGGGGAAACTGGGATGAGCTGAAATAGGAGACATTCAGATAATTCAGTCCTTACTGCTGATGTAGAAATATTCAAAGGATCACAGATTTATTTTTTTTTTCAAAGCTTTTACAGCAGTACCAAGAGATTTCACAAAAAAAATTTTGAGTATCGAGCCTTGCTCCAAAGAGTGCCCATCTGTGGCCCTGTCCACAGCAGCATCTCGGGGGGGGGCTAGTCAGGAGCTGCAGGGATGCACCTCTCCTGCCACTCAGCCAATGGAAGTTTGTGAGAGGGGAAAAAATACCTTGGGGACTGTATATGCACATGTAGGGTAAGAAGCTGCTTTCTTTCCAGAAACGAGTACGAGTCTGAACGTGCAGGTAACAGCAACCCATCCTGGCATTACCTGTTCTTATCATTCACTCTGGGGGGGCAGTGGGACTGCTCATTCCCTAACTTCTAGGCACCTGCAGCAATTACCCATCAGTTTTTTCGAAGCCGGTAAGGACAGAGGGGAGTCCCTGCAGCATCACTCACCCAATGTGAGGCCTGTCCCATGAGGAGGAGAGTAGCTCTGCAGAGGTGCTTGTTGCCTTCAGTTGGCAATAAAGGAGCCTGAGGTGGCTCTGGAAATGAAGACATCTGACTCATGTCTACAGTTAGGAGAGATGAAACCCGCTTATAGTATCTGTGCCATTAAGTTCCACATAATCTCCTTCACAAAGCAACGTGCCTGCCCCAGACCTTAAGGAAGCAGCAAAAAAAAAAAATACTATCTTGCCTCTAGCAATAGTTCCTCTTGGCTTCTTCATGTCTAAAAAATCTCAAGGTCATTTACCTCTATGACAGGAATGTAATTAAAGCTATGTGGTCATTCCCGTTAGCTGGAAAAATGTGAAAATGAGCAGAGGCTCAAGTGGAACAAGAAGTCTTGAGTTCATTACACGATATCCCTGTTCAGTTTGACATCGTGATTTGTTGAGGTCTTGGAGAAAATTGAAGACAGTTGAAACTATATACATAACAAAGCCGGGGGTGGGATGGGTGTTTGTGAACCATGAAAACTTAATTTCCCTTCAGATGTATCATTTATTTAATGGTTGCTACACATTAGCCTACCGGAAAGTTTGGCAATAATCAACCACAAGAGTTTCAGCCTCAAGTGACAGACCTGATTCAGGGACCCTGGTGGTGACTCGAGGGTTTCACAGATGTTTGGCAATTTAGTGAGTCCAGCTCACTTTCAGTTTTATTTGTAATTGGCCATCCACGCTTTTAAGATGCTTTGGAAGGCCCAGAGTGTTTTGAGGTGTTTTTTTTTTTTTTTTAATAATCTTAAAAAGGAGGAAGAAAACATTTCAGGTCATTAAAAATCAGACTGCAGTGCTTCAGTGAGGGAAGGCACATGCAGCTTTGCAGTGATCATCTTTCAATTTATGTCCTTGAACCTTCATCTCTTCCTCTGTTCAACAGTCATAAATCAGAACTTTGAATGCTTCATATTTCCATTTTAAAAAAAAACCCTCAGAAATTCTCCTGGATGTTTTTACTTTCCAGAACTGTGTTCAGGAGTATGAGCCATTTCAGGAACTATCAAATGAAAAACATTGCTACTAATTGAAAAATACTTGACTTTCAGAATCATAGGATTACTTCAGAAACCATTATTCACAGTAAGTAATACCTATTTATGTTAGCAACCCTATTGGTTTCACATCACCGCTTTTTGTAAGTGAGAATTGTAAAATATGGCCTTCAGTGAAAAATAGAGAAAATTGTATCCTGTGTGGTTTCGTTCCTCTCCCACCCGACCCAGCTGATGGGACAAAAGCCGGATTTCATTTGTACATTTATAGATATTCCAGAACGTCTGCAGGAAACCCGTTTTCTCTCTCAGCCTGGGCCTGCTGGCCAGGCAGCCGTATTAATAACAGAAGTTAAGCCAGCTGCTGTTTTAACACCCGCAGTTGTGGAGGAGGTGGGGAAGGCAAGTCCTCGCCTGCAGCCGCTCTCCAGGCTCACTCCACGCGCCAAGTCTCCTCCTGCACCCGTCTGTGAGACAGACCTGGGATCTGAGCAGATCCCAAGCTTCGCTTAGCAAAAAAGCAGCCGATCTCGGGTAACGAGACCATACGCCGTGCTAAAAGCAGCGCTGGTGCGGGGCCTCTCCCCGTTGCAGGGCAGAGCTGGGAGGCAGCTGCTCACCAGTCCCAGTTTGTTCCCCGGCTCTGTGGGTACCGGCTCAGGGCGCTGCCCCAGACGCGAGTCTGGACCTGTGGGCCCGCCCGTGTGAAGCTGCTGTAGCTAAAGGGTTCCTCTGAAAACCATCTCTGAGCTCTGTTAGGAACCAGAAGTCATGGAACCAGATTAAAATATGATTTAAAGAGGCAAACACAGACCCTGCACTGGTGAGAGTAACCTTATCCTGCGTGTGACTACACACTGGTGGGGGGCTTGGTGGGTCTTGGCGTTGGGTTCAGATTTAGCTAGGGACTGAGCAGCAGTGGGGTGTAAATCCTTCCAACTGCTGTATGTCCCTCTGGTACGGGGAGCAGCCCTGCACCTCCCTGACCCACCAGCCTTTCCTCTGCGGGACAGCAGCACAACTGAAGGCTTGGCCAGCAGGTACCTGCCACCTACCCACAGCAACTGTCCTGTAGAGGTGCCCGGGCCAGCCTGACCCCAGGAACACAAGATCTTCCCAAAGTCTCTCAAGCTGCTTTAAAGCCCACAAGTGGTGCTCAGCAGCGATGTGTAATGCAGTTTGGTTTAGATCCCTGTTTCACCATTTATCAGGCCTAGGATAAAGAACACAGCTGGCATCAAGATGAACCCATGGCCAGACTGGAATTGACACAAAAGGGTCAGTCCATGGGTGAGCACTGGGGGGACAAACCAGTCACTCAGGTTATACATAATCGACATCAATCCCACTGACCCCAACAACGACACCGCATGACCAGCAATGGGTGCAAGAAACAGTGAAATAGAGTCTCCCGAGAAGGGACGGGAGACAGCCAGGGCAACAAGCCAAACACATCAGCCCAAGGAACCCACACACTGAATCTCTGCACAGCCCGCGTTTACAAAAGCCAGAGCTGAGCGGAGCCCAGTCCCAGGGAGGCGGGAGGTCCTTCCCCAACAGGGAACTCTGCCCAGGGCACCCACCTCACACACAGACACTGCCCCTCCTGCCAGGGGTCCCGGCTGTTCTCCCTGCTGGGACCCCTGACCTTGGGTTACTCACTGCGGGACCCCTGGGGCTCCTTTACCCAACGGCTCTGTCTGCCTGGCCGCCCACCCTGGGGGGAAGCCTAAAGGGAAACTCCCCCCCCTTGGGAAGGGCTGGGGGGATCACCCAGATGTCAGCATCAGTGTGGGGCTTGGGGTTGTAACCCCAGCTTTTAAATCCCCCAGTCCTTACATGAGTTACACAAGCTTAAGCCAGGCTAAAAAAGAGATGAGATTCCCAAGAAGTGGGGGCGAGCAATTTAAAAGTCACATTTACCAACACTCGTAACAATTAAAATGGAAATTCCTTTAAAATTGGACTCCATCATTTGTGCCCTTGACTTTTTCTAGTAGCCCTTTCTCAAGCATTGTAAACAGAGTGTATTGCTGCGACTCTGTTGTCTCGGACAGCTGGCAGCTTTCACTTGTGCGACGCGTGGAGCCTTTGTATGATAATTACCTTCGGTAGCAGGGACAGGCGGTGCTGCCCTGCAGGCGCAGTGGAAGTAAGCACATGCCTCTCCCCCACCTAAGTGACGCAGGTGGGAAGGGAGGAGAACAGAGACGGGAGACATGCAGCCCCATTTCCAGTGGCCGGTAGGTAGGGCCAGTTCCACCTCCACGTTTGAGTTGGTCCCATTCTGCCTCGCTTGTTCCTGGCCCCGTACACCCTCGTCCTGCAGCGCTCACGCCTGGCAAATGCATTGCTGTAAGCACAACCCAAAGAAACTCGTATAATGCAGATGGTTTCTTCCCACCTGCAAAGCAACAATAGGAGCAGAGAGCATCTCTCACCTGATCGTGGCTTTCCCAGAAATTACAGACAGCAGGCATCACATTCTGGTGCTGCAGTAGGACTTGGTAGAATCCACAACACCCCGCAGCAAATGCTTTCCCCCCCGGCAGCGCTGTGTGTGTGGAAGGGCACAGCACATCCCAGCACTGCTCAGGGCGTGCTGCAGAAGATTTGTCAGCTGGCCCTGTCCTTCTGCAAGACACCGGCTAATGCGTGTCCTTCCACTCCTTGCTCCAGCCGGCGTGCCTGCTGCTCTTAGGTAAGGATGGTGATTCACAGCCCGCGATAGCACAGGGGTGGGTTATGTCACCCAGAAGAGCAGCAGAGCAGAGAAATCCTGCTGAGAAAGTCTCCTCTGGAGCCGACGGGGAACTGCTTCGCCCCCTGAGCACTCCGGTGCTACAGCCCGGATCCACGACTCAGAGCTGTGGTTCAGAGCTCACCGGCTGTGCCTGACCCGTTGTAACCTTTCTAGCTGCCATTCACACCCGCACTGGGTGAGTTAGGGGCCGCCAGCTTGGTACGGTTGGTCCCTGCCCTCAAATAGGAGCTCCAAAGCATCCCCGTGGAATATGATCAAGATTTAACCAAGCCCATCTGTCCAGGCCCTCCCTGGGGCTCACAGCCCAGTTGTGAAGTCCCAGAGTGTTTCTTAACAACTGACAGATGGAAGCGTCCAGACATTTCTGATGTCTTAGCAAAGGGGGTCTCTCGGCTGGCCCCACTTACACATCCCCCAGCCTCCAAGAGCCTACCTACCAGGGCAGGAGCTTCTGGTTTCGTTCTTACCACACCCCAGGTATTTCCGTTGGCTTTTCTTAGGTCTGCAGGTAAGGGGTTGCCTAACTGAGGGCTCTGGCATGTGTTGCACATTTACCCTGTTTAAGGCCAAACACCTTCCTAAGGCATTAGCCCTCAAACACATCTTGACATTTCTCTTCCACCTCTGCAGAATTGTCCGCTATGGTAGAAGGAACAGTTGAAAGCTCAGAGTCTGTTTTTCAAGTTGAAAATTCCCAGTGCCTGGGGTTTGTTACAAACTCTTAAGCACCACCTGTCTATCTTCCCTGATCCAGCTATTATTTTAGAAAAATTAAGTGATGGCTACCAGTGTTTGTCACCCTTTAAGGCAAGTCCTCTCATCTGACCTCATGCAGGTGCCGCGGTGCATTTCCCAGCTAGACCAGAGGTCAAAGGTGATGTAACCCAGTGAAAGGTCAGTCAGCCTGTGGATGAAAATAGGGGCCAAAGCACCGCTCCTGTATGGCAAGGTGGCAACATCCAGTGGTAATGTTGAAGTGTTCCCAGTCAATTCCAAACACCGAAACATTTGACCTCTTCAGGACTGAGCCAACCTGAAGCAAATTTTAGTTGCTGTTGAAGTTTCCCCTACACTGGAAAAAAACTGAATCCTTCAGCTCTTTTGGCGTTCTAGCAAATTAAAAGATGACGAGCCCCACCTAAAAAGTCTGAGAGTTTCTGCTTTGTTTCACACAAACAAGAGTCAAATTGAGATTGCACCGGCAGCCTTCGTTCAGGCATTTCGGAACTTTTACGTATTAGTAACCCGAGCAGCCTTTCAGCATACATTCTGTGTATAATGTTATAGGCTATGTATAATACAGCCACAGAAGTGTACAGATGCCAAACGATGGAAATTATTCCCCTGCTCTTTGGCAGGCTCCACAGGCAGGGGGATTAGATTATGTTCTATTTCTCTCTGGTTTGTAATATATTTAGACAACTGAATGGCTTTTCATTTAGTGCTTGTCCTGCAACTCATTTCTCATATCCTTCCTTTCAATCTTGTGGGGCTTTTTTTCAAAACCTCGTGCATTGTGCTTTGTCCTCCTTTGTCCTTGCACTTATGGGGAAGGAGGACATTCCTATTGCCTGGAATAATCTGTGTACCCGCCACGGGCTTCTTACTGCAGAAAGCTGTTTGTTAGCCTGCTATCCCAGAAATCCCTGTGAACAGAGAGGGTGAAAGCTTCTCCTCCCCTCCCAGCACGACCAGATTTGAAGGCATTGCACCAGAACCTCAACAGACGTAGATCAGTGCAGGTCTGCTTCGATCAGTGTAATAACAGTTCGATGCCAGAGCGAGATCTGGACATTTCTGGAGACCGTTTGCTTTGTTACCTGGTCTGAAGGGGCTGCGGTGCCTGATGGAGCTTTTGTGTGAACACCAACTTAGCAAGAGGCCCTGGGACGGTGAATGTGGCAACTGTTTACTTCGTTTGTCAGAAAATGACAAAAGTCCCTGTAAAAAAACTTGTCTCCAGAGGCTCGGAATCATTCCTTCATTATTAATGGATGTCACGTTTTCCAGCGGAGCTAAGCCACCGTGCAGAGTCATTGCTGTGGAAGAGGAGGCAGATCTTTTCGTTAGCTCCTTCCTCGCCGGGCAGTGAGAATGGGAGCAGCTTGCCTGGGTGCTGTTCCCTGAGGCGTCGGGTGGAGCAGCGATGGCAATCTGGGGGCTGCACGACGACCGGGACCTTGCTAGTGAGCGGGAGCAACCTGAGCCTCCTCCAGAGCACACGCTTCGGCTCTAAACACATTAAAATCCTGTAGAAGTGACCAGAAGTGACAAATGGAGGGTTTGTGTTGCCAAGTACGCTGTGTTGGGAGGCTGGGATATAATACACTCTGGCTAACAGCAGATGGAAATTAGCACTCGTCTTTCTCGGGAAAATGCGAGTGTTTTCAGTGATCCCAGTGCTGCAGGGCGATCTGAAGCAGCACCCCTCAACTTCACAGGTCCAGGCGTCCATCAGCCAAGTTCCCGGGCTGCGGGTGCTCTGCGTGTCGCTGCCCTCCCTCGGCTTTACACACACAGAGGGGACTGGCAGAACTCCCACTACTGATAGTTTATTTTCTGTGCTACATACAAATATTAATAAACTTTCCTATGGTCTTCGGATCCAGGCACGCTCATTCATGCCATCTTGGTGACACTTGATTTTACACTGACCTTGGAAGAAGGGTCTGGCCAGGAGCAACCCCAGGACTCTGCGGTACAGGAAAAGAGTAACTGCCCGATGGGTCTGACACATTTAAAGCTGCATTCTGTCCTGCTCCACCTCTAAACATTTCTTTAAAAACAATCAAATCAAAACAATCTAATGATCAAAATTATGCAGACTGTGGATTAGTAAAGCGTTTCATCTGAGCTAGAGCACACACCACACTCTGCAGAAGGGTGAGCAGAAGCAGCTGAAGGTTCTGTGAATGATGTAGGTGGCTCCAAGCCGTGGTATGTGCTCACGCTCTTCAGTTTCTCTCTCCCCAGGTATTTTTTAAATTAAGTCTCAGGAGACTCTTCTAGATACAAACAACTTGTTTTAAACCTCATCTGCCTGCAGACCTCACAAGAGGCAGGGCTGCATGTTTGGTTAGTATTCATTTCACCAACGACAAAAAAGGACGGTGACAGAACAAAACAATGCAAAGTAATTTATTTTTTTTTTATTGCCGAGATGGGTAAGACTGTCTAGGCTATTTGATTATTAGAAAGCAGTTAACTGTCAAACCCTGACGTAGGTTTCATTTGGTTGAGTTTTGGGTGAAGGCTCAAATCCTTAGAGTTACGGGAAAATGCCATGTTTCTGCTCAGAAGTCCTCCCTGGCTAACAGCACTGTGAGAAATGCCTGAACCTAAGTGAAGCTCGTCCAGCTGAGCTGGCGCTGAGGTGGTGCCCGCCCAGCCTTGCCCTTCCGAGCACAGTCACTCTGCAGCTCCAAAGGAGTTGTGCTGACGTGAAAGTTGAGACTCAAGCCCCGTGCACTGAATAGCTTTGATGGGTAAAAAGCTAGATAACCTCAAACGTGCTGATTCCCACAGATATTCCGCTGTCTGAACCAGATGTTTCTTTATATTTTATACATTAACGGAATGCAATATGTAGAATGTAGCACGTAGACTTGGGAATACCCAGTATGCAAAGAACTCTGGTGGGAGAAGTTAATTAAGTATTGTTGCTACTAGGATACCAAACCGTGCTCCAACAGCTTGTATTCGTACCGTTATGCTTGCCTGCTTGAGCAGACAGATGCATTGCTTTAATTTATTATTATGATTAGTCATCTTGGCCTACCTCAGAACTTCCCCGGGTTGGGCTTTCAGCCAAGGTGCCTCCACGCAGCCGTAGTTCGTAGACGGATGGACCACGGAGCCGCTTACACACCAGGTGAAGATGGGCAGATTTAAAGCATTTATGTCCAGGAGGCACCGCAAAGCAAAAAAAGGATGAATCCTCACAACATTTCTGTGAGGAAGGCAGACACATAGAACACGTACTCATTTACATATGTGGAAATAGAAGCCCATTTTCTCATTGCAGGGAAGGAACAGGGGTTGGAGCGAGCAGCCTGTGCGGGGCCTGGTGCGTACCTGGGTAACGAGAGCAGTGGGAATGCTCCATGGCATCTATAAAGCATTTACAGTACGGGCACAGCCACCCTTTGCTCATGCAAACAGCTCCAGTGAGATTGTCTGCGGAAATAAAATTTACTTCAGAGTAAGTTTGCGGTTGCAGAAGGAAGCCCTCTGCACTTTGTGCTTTCAGAGTGGGCTACGAGCGGTAGAAATTAAGTGTAGCAGTTCTTTGCATTTCCTCTTTCCCCTTTTGAGGCAAGTATTTGGTCTTTTAATCTCGCAGGTAGTAGAGGGCACAGCAACGTGCAGTGGGAACTGGCATACACACAGGCAGAGCCATTGGGGCTGAATTTTTATCCCCCAGGTTACGGGTAAGAATAGCAACTCGCACACCTACTGTGGGATTGAGATTTTGCAGAACCAGTTTAATATAAACAGGGAGAAACGAGGTTAGCCCCCCACTCTGACTATACAGAGAAAAAGAGGAGGAAGATGCAACCATCCGTATCACACTGGGCCAAATAGAGCTAATGAGGGAAGGTAGAGGCCTCATAACACCTTTCTTTCTCACCTTTTCCTTCCTCTTTCTTGCCTCCCCAAAGTAAACCCACAACTGAGAAAGCTACAGGTTTTTCTTTACAGGAAATACTTCGATGCTGTGTGCTCATGAAATATTAAGGGAACATTTGTGGTTTATGTCTTCCAGAAAATTATATTGATGTGCCTCAAGATGGGAGAGGTAAGATCAGACTTCGAGGAGCAGCTTTCAAGGAAATCAACTGAATGACAAGAGTTGAAAAAAAAAAGATGGGTAAGCAGGAGAGAGAAGGACTACAAGAAGGAGATTGAGCAAGTCACCTGAAGAGAAACACCGCTCAGACAACTTCTCCAGGCAGATGATACGGAAGGAGCCTCCAGAAGAAAGTAGTCTGTAAGCAATATTCTAATTCTAGGCAGACACTCTTATCTCTGAAAGGCAGCATCATATGTGAGGAAATGCTCAATAGGAAGAAAATCAAGTTGCTCTGGCAAAACCACACAAAGGTGGAAAAAGATCACAACACAAACCTTTGGTAGATAACATTTCTTTGCCTCCCCATCTGTCTATTGCCATTTGAGCCTAATCTAAGTGTCAGAATACTGAATGTGAGTTTTTCCAAAGTTCTCTGGTGAATATTTTGTCACAATAGGGTAGGTGCTGGCAATCTCCATCACTCTTAACCATTATGGTCACATGCTTCACAAGGTAAGTGAAAGCCTTTCATGGAGTCACACTGCAGGGTAGCAACTGTTTGTACCTTAGTACAGATGTTAAGGTCATTGGCAATGATTCTGCTAAGACATCAGAGCTCTGAGCACGTCTTGGCTCCAGCTTCACGCCCCCTCCCGAAGAGGGGTGCTTGTTAAGAAGCAACACAGACACCCCATTCCACCCTCATCCTCTTTGAAGCTGAAAGAGAAACAGAAGAAAATCAACAAACTATATCTTTTAAAAGCAATAATACCATTGTCCCTCTGCTTTACAAGGCAATAATCCAATTCCTTCAGCCACCAACTGGCTTTGGAGTTTACCCCTCACAAATCTAAGAATTCATTTGCAAGCCAGAAAGGCAGCGATGCCGCCACAGGAGTATGTGGAGTGCTTGGTCTCGAGGATGCAATAGCTTGACCTGACTTTCCATAGGACAGGTTTATTTTGAAATCATACACTGTCAATTACATGAGCAAATCATGTGAAATTCAGTTATTTAAGATAGACACATGGAGAGCCTGGCAAGGGCAGCCCAACAGAGGAGTTCACCTAGAAATTGCAACACAAAGCCATGATAATGCCAGTGGATCCTTCCTTAATTTGTCCTGCAGATCTGAATATCTTTTAAATAACCATATATTTTACTGCATAGCCAACAGGAGGAACACTTTGTCAATCAACAATCAAGTTTCCCTTTTGTACCTCTTTGATTTAAGGGAATTTTAGTCTTCTGTTGAACTCCCAGGGGACGGACTGCTGAGTGGTTTGAGCTCATCCACAGCTACCAGAGGGCACAATGGTAGTGACTAAAGCCACGCAGGGACAAATAGTGCTGGGGACACAGCGAGGCCGGACAGCACGGGGGTGCCCAGTCTTCAGGGAAGGCCCAGTGTGTGTAGGATACCAGTATGCTCCTGTGTCGTGGCTTAAGCCCAGAGGGCAACTGAGCACCACACAGCTGCTCGCTCACTCCTCCCCCCGTGGGATGGGCAAAGTATAAGAATGGGTTCGAGGATCAAAACAAGGACAGGGAGGGATGACTTGGCCATTGTGGTCATGGGCAAAAGACAGACTTCCACTGGGGAAGAAAAAGAACATCGGTTTAATTTGAGCACTACCACCACTGAATTGTCCAATCAGAGTAGGACAGTGGGAAACACCAGCACATCTTTAAAGAAAAACCTTCCCCCCACCCCTCCCTTCTTCCTGGGCTCAGCTTTGCTCCCCATTTCTCTCCCTCCTCCCCCCACAGCGTGGGGCCCTCCCCGGCTGCAGGTCGGCACCTGCCCCCCCAATGCCCTCCCCGGCACAGGGCACAGCTGCCCTCTCCCCCCGGGCTGAGGGGGTCTCTGCCCCGCCACATCTCCCCCCATTCCTCCTCCTTTCTTCCTCTGGCCTCGGTGTTTGCAGAGGTGTCTCCCTCACAGCTCCCCCTCCCACGTTCCCCTTCTGAAACGTGTTCCCACAGAGGCACAACCACCATCACCGACTGCTCAGCCTCGGCCAGAGCTGGGGAAGCTCCGAGAAGCTTCTCACAGGAGCCCCCCCTGCAGCCCCTCCACACACACACACACGCCCCTTTTCTTTGCAAACCAACTGGTAAAAAATGCTGAGTATCCCTGAGTGAGTCAACAGCTCATAGAGAACTCAAACGCCAGAGGTGCGAGTGCCACCCTGCAGGCGTTAAGCCTCCATCCTGTCCTAGGTAATCTTAAGGCCCGGCCTATTCTGGCTCCACAGAAGCTCCTGGGTCCCCGTGTCTGCGGAGCCCTGGGCGGGCAGCCGGGGTGTTTCACGGCGTGAGGAATGCAGCGCTTCAAATAAAACAGAGGCGGTATTTCCTAAACCTGGATTCACACGAAACCTAAGAGATTCTAGTTTTCTAAAAAGAATAATCCGAGTATTGCAGAACCGTTCAGAGCACTTCAGCTGGGAGCAGAAGGGACGTCCAGCGAGGACAGGCTGGCAGTAGTTCAGTGGCGGGTCCCAGCTGCTCCCCTTGAGACGGGAGCTCGGGCAGGGGAGGGCGAGCCCCCGAGGTGTAAGGCAGTGCTGTTAGCGCCCAGCGCAGGAAGGGCAGAGGAAGCCAAGTACCTGGAGGCGACACCACCCACACCTCTGCCAACACCACGTTTTCTCCACGCTCCCACTCTGGCTCCGAGATCCATAACCCCTGCAGCCCCCAGCGGCCCGACAGGACTCGCTGTGCAGTAGCTGCTCCTTTTACCTGCTCCCAGCACCTACTCCCGTTGTGAGGTGGTGACCGCCACAGAGAGCTTTGTAAAAAAGCTTATGTTCATGAAGGAATTTGTATTAGATACTGGTTTGTGTGACTTACTGTATTTTGTAAGGGTTTTTTTCCCTTTGGGAATTGTGCGTTATTAATGAGCAGTTTTATGCTTTACTCCTAGTACATGTATACCTTGTAACTGATGTGCTTTTCGTTTGTTTGTTTGTTTTCTTTTATCCTCTATACAGAGCCAGTTAATATAAGGTAGATACTCTCTGGCTGAAATTCTGATTTTTGCCTACCAGTTAATTTATGGATCAATCCATGTCGTAGCTGATGAACGGTCCTTTGTCAGTTGTGTTATCATCATCCGGTAGCCTCTCTAGCTTAGCAGAGCAGAAGAGCCTGAATAAGACTAATGCTTGTTGGGCCTTAAACTGAAGGGAGACAGTGCACCACACGTGTTTCCCTACCACCACCACCGCCGGCCCTTCTCCCTTAGCGTGGGGGATAGAGCACTGGCTAGAGCAGCAGTCACCTCAGCGTCTGAACCGGCTCTGTAGCTGTGCTCTGATCCCCCTCTGCATTCATCTGATTGAAATTCCAGGGAGCCAGGTAAACTGCAGTTAATTCTTCAGAATTTCTGCAGAAAGAGGCTGGTTCAAACACAATCTTTCTCTAAAAGAAAAGACTTGGACTAAAATAGGTACATTTTCCTCTATGTCCATCCTGATACGGTTGGAAAAAAACAAAGGATCTAAAATTAATACAGAAGTGTGTAATTCCACTGTACACCCTGTTTAACAATAGCAGCTGTCTGTCCCAGTGGCTATTAATGACCTTCGTGCTCCAGAAGCCTCCTTCCTTGTCCAACTCATTTTCTCTCTTCAGTTTTACCGAGAACTGAGTGTCCAACTTCTTAATAATTGCTGTGTATAACATAGGACATAAAAAGATAAGTTATAAAGCTTGTGCAGGACTTGGTGTTGTAATTAACCATCTTTCGTGCCTGGTTATCGATCTGAGAGTGAAAACAATCCGGCCTCTTAATGTCTACTGCAGCATATTGTAGCAGCTATTTTAGATAACTGTTTTTAATAGTTTTATTATGGCTGTAATTTCTGTATGAGGACTGTCCACTTGAAGAAGCGATGAAATAACATGTCAAAAAGTGATTTTTTTTTTTTTTTTTTTTTTAATTTTTTTTTTTTTTTTTTTTTTTTTAAAGTCAGTTCTGTTTCGCCACCAGCGACGGTGAATGAAATGTAAAGCGACAAAAACAAAACCTCACCCACTCACCAGGAAGAAATATCTTTTCTCAGCCTCGAGAATTGTCTTGCATAAGACAGGCATTTCCTCTAGTCCGCCTTTTACATAAATAGTAAATCACTAAGAAGATAATATATACAGTACAATAGTCTATTTTAATAGTCAGCAGTCAGACTTTAGGCTAATTCAGCTAACTAGAAATTCTAGGGTTGCAGTGATTCCTCACTCTTTATTAATCCGTTGACAATAATACTGTTTACATAACACTCGATGTTTAAATCAATACGTGCCAGTGTTCAGTGATCCGCTACTCTAGTTTTTGATCTAATCCTGTCCTATTTTTTGCAGCATTCTCTAACTTCATATTATGAATCATGTTGTCTTTCTAAAGTGATTGCCAAGTAAACCAAAAAAACGTGTTTTACACTGCTATTGCACTGCTCTTGTCTTTATATACGGTAGTTTTTATAAAGATGTCCTTAGGTTTTAATAAATGAGTGTAACGTAAACTAATCCCTGTAATAAAACTTGCTTTAGTGTTTCAAAGGCTGTCTGGAATAGCTGTAGAGATTTGAGTTTCCACTTTTTTCGATAGCTTCAAACTTCATGGCTTCTTTTCCATGTGCAGAGAAATCCCCAGATACCAACACTCGGTGGTTTATACAAGTGGTTCATAGAAGGGGAAATGAAAAGTGCATTTACTGCAAAGAATGATGCTTGGATTTGGAGGAGGGGGGAAAAAAGGCCCCCAAAAACCCAAACCACACCCCAGGAAAAAAAAAGCTAAGGCCATTGCATGAATAAATATATCGCCCATTCAGTCTGCATCCCATTTCCAGCAATTGCTAACACCACATACTTGTGAGGAAAGGCAGGCCGAAGGATCTGGGCAGTTTTTTCCAGAAAGGTTTTGACTTTCTGAACAGACTGTGCTCTCTCAGGTCCCTTTGTCACCCAGCGTTTAGGAGGGATCATTGCCAGTGTTCCAAGAATACTAAGCATGCCGAGCTGAGATTTCAGCTTTCAGACTAGTAAAAGGGAACATTTTTGACAACTGGATTAAACAAGCACACACACACACACAAAAAAAAAAAAAAAAAAAAAAAAAAAAAAAAAAAAAAAAACAAAACAAAAAAAAAACACCAAACCCACAACAAAAAACTGACCAGAAAGCAAGTGCAGATTTCTGTTGGTAGCTTTGCTCATACACTTCTCCTCCACCCACCCACTCCTCAGGAGAATGTCAGTAATACCCACGGGGAGTCTCCATCCTGAGACAGCGCACGGCCGGGAGGGAGAGTCCGGGGGGGCTTCTTGCCGCTCGGTCCAGGTTCCTGCCCTGGACAGAAGCAGTTCTTGCTCTTCTCTGTCCCGTGGCTCCCAAACATAAATTTTCCTCAGCTGTTGGCTCGTCCTCCTTGGCTCATGCTGAACCTTTGATGTCCAAGTGAAACGGGCATTCCCAAACACAGGATGAACCTTTTCACACCAGAAATTACACTTTGGGAATGGGAACACTAACCCCAGGCTAGGGGCTGTGCTGCAGGAACACACCTGAACAGCCAAAAATACGGGAATTTTAAAGCCAGATTAAAAAAAAAAATAATAAAAATCCATAAATAGTTCATTCCTGCAGCTTCTGTAACTGTGCACATCAGCGCAAAAATGAAAAAGGATTCTTTTCATTACAGCAACACTTGGATAATTCTTAGGGGCTTTGCAGCTGTAAGAGACTACAATGACATCCCGCTGTGCTAAGACTGACGGAGACGTATTGCAGGAAGAGAGGACAAAAGACAGTATTAAAACCACATCGGTATGTAAAAATACAAGTAACCACCACCCACTGCCCTTCTCACACTGCACTTGCAATCACGAAAACCAGCTAAATTTACAAGACAAATGCTAAAAGAAACGGTAAATTGACGTATTGGGTGTGTTACAGCTCCCTTACCAAGTTTCAACAATTTTTACTGCAGGCTTATAGTAATTGAGTAAGAATTATACTCACCATACTATGCTCAGCAGGAACATCTTTTATATACCAAGTGAGCAAATTAAATACCTCTGGAACTTCCATAGAAGATGTTAAAATGCTGATAATGACTTACAGGCTGCCATTACGGAGCCATTATCACCAAACCATAAACCAACAGGAGCATCACAGCCAGTTCCATTGAATTGTTTGTCCTTACTGGAAAGCAGAGAGGGTGCTGCCCCGCTTGTTCACACCTACGGAAGGACAAGGAGAGAAAAGGTATCTCGGTTTTGATATTTCCTTCCAAAAACAAGACCCTGTCCCTCTCGCACAAGTTACTCTCAAAAGTTAATTTGAGCAGACAATGGAACCTGGGACACCCGCACCCCGCCCGTACTGATGTATTGGGTGTGTGGGGGCACTCGTGTCTGAGCGTGTCACGGCGTGAGTTTCCCAATCAGGATTTTAACTCTTCTTCAAACAGCCAGACTGTACAGAGCCTCGTATCTTCT